CCGAGGTCGCGGCGGTGTCGGGGTGGTTTCGGTGAGAGGCCTCGGCGCAAGCCTCGGCGAAGCGGAGAAGAGAAGCCGACGGCGCCGTGGTTGTGCCTTTGACTTTGGTTGTGACGCCATCGCCAACCAAAGGGGTTCGGGTGGGAGGAGTACTAGGTCGTACTCACGTCCTAGAGATATGAACTCTAGGCTCTCCCGAACCGGATCACCGTGCGAGACGTGAGTGGGCGTTCCATGGGGATAACCATGTGGGAACTTGTTGGGACGATTTAAAGCTAAACTAAAAGAGAACCCCTTTTGGCGCGCCAACTATGTCGGTGTTTAGGACCGGGGGTCCTCAACCAACTAGTAAATGTGAACTAAAAGTGGTCCATCCCTTAATAATCCAACCAGGATGGTGATGCAAAGAGACATAAAAGGTTTATCTATGGTTCCAGCAATCGGTCCATATACGTCTAGTCCGAAAGGATCGATCTTGTATTCCTTCATCCTCAAGTGCTTGTAGTACGGGGGTTCCATTTGGGTCAGAGAGAGGAGCTAGTCGGAGTCAATCAGAAGCGGTGAGGGCTGCTTGAGTCGTTGCTCTCGGGTCCCGGGAGAGTGTGCATGAATCTACGTGAGTCTACGTAATGCTCGCGATGTGCCTTCTCCTCGATGTCCGTGCTAGCGTATACCGTGAGCACCAGCGTGGTCTCCTTTTTAACTCATTTGAGCGCCTCCTTTTATAGCCGCAAGGAGGAGCAAGGTGGTATATGGAGAGAGCTCAACCATTTAGTGGAGCCCATCGTGCAATCAGTTCGATCTTGTGGCGGCATGGTGTTGGGAACGGAGTCATCGACCAAATCACCATTCATAACGTCGTCTTATGAGCTTGAAGTTGTTGAGGTCGTGAGGGTCCTTGTTGATGTCTAGTCAAATGGCCTCCGTTTGAGGAGACATGGCGCTATGCCTTGTGGATTCTTGACTCGGTGGAGTGCCGAGGCTTGGCTTTTTTTTATTCATGCATTTGATCGTGTATTTAGACGCTTTGCCGAGGGCCTTTGATTCAATGACCCGTGTATGATGCGGGGATCTCGGTGGTCGCTGCATCTACCGGTTCGGTGGAAAAAAAAGTGTGGAGCGTGTGTCCACGAGGCACGGTAATATGCAATGTTTGGAGGGATGGTAAAAGGAGATTTGACATGTAAACTATCGTGAACTAATTTTGGTGTAGCCTGTCATTTTAGTCAATACAATATAATAGGTGTGACCAATATTAAACTTTAAAAGCGGATGGGACGGCTCGCCAGGAGAGGAAGGTTGAGGCGGAGTTCCCAACGAGGATGCGGGATTACGCTCGGCCTACGCGGCGAGGAAAGAATAATATCTCAAGGCCTCGCCGTGGTCTCGATCGGCGGAGGCGATCAGTTGGTCTTTCATGCTCGATTGAGACTTTGTGGGACCCGGACTTGACCCTCCATTCCGCTTTGTCCTTGGCGCAGGGAGTTAGTTAACACAGGCGAAGACGGGTGTCGGCGAGGGGCAGCTGCTGATGAGCACGTACGTGACGCGATGTGCCGGCTAGCCTCGTCCGGCTAGCCACCGGGCACCAGCGTCTCACCCAACTCATTTGAGCTACATACTCGTAATCGAGGAGAGTTAGGCGCGATTACTTTGGACCGGACCTTTTATCATTTAGTTTTGGTCGACGGAGGTGACGAGGTTGTTGCGAGCCCAACCCCAGCGAATCGAAGAATTGGTATCCGTCCAAATCACCGGGCGGGGCCTACTTAGAGGTTGTTATACGGGCGGAGAGTTTTAATAATAATGCGAGGCCTCATCGTTTGAGCCATTTGGGCGAATCGGAGAATCTGTCGAGACCTCGTGGTTGTCCTTTGGCTTTGATTGCAAGGCTTAAGCAATATTTTCGGTTCTTGTTTATGGTACCCCTTCTTGTGGTATCCCTTCTTGTGGTATCCGACATAAATGTTGTACGTATTTTCTACAAACCTAGTCAAAGTTGAGAAAGTTTGATCTATACACGTTCCATAACGACATGTATTGTGGGATAGATGGAGTAGGTATTTAAACATGTAAACTAAAAGTGAACTAATTTTTGGTTTCCAGCCTGTCATTTTTAGTCAATACAATATAATGCAATACAAGCAATATTAAACTAAAAGTGGTCCATCTAAACTTTATTAGTTCTAAATAATCCAACCAGGACCTTGAATCACTTCTCTACAACATAAAAGGAAAGGAAAGGTAAGTTCCACTCATTTTCCATATACGCACACAATGAAAAGTGACATCTCCGCTGCGTTCATCCTCACCTCGCAACTCCAATACGGGTGGTCCATTTGTGTCAGAAGAAGACCCGGAGACTATTCGGAGATGCAATCAGAATCAGGGGAGCAGCGCCGTGATTCCTCTCGGGTCCCGCACTCCCGCTCCAGCTGCTCCGGCCGCCCACGTACGTGACGCGATGTGCCGGCTAGCCTCGTCCGGCTAGCCACCGGGCCAACACTTTGGACCGGACCTTCAACCATTTAGTTTTGGTCGCTCGTGCAATCAGTCGTGCGCGCGAGAACCCCAGTTCTCCGTGAATTGAGTCATCTACCAAATCACCATTCATAACTTTACTTATCCACCGTTGTTATATTCCATCATAATCATAATAATAATGCATCAAAGGTTCATCGTTTGAGCCATTTGGGCCGCTATGGTCTTTGCGATTTTACTACTCCCTCCATTCCCGTCGCTTCGACTTTTTTTTATTCGTGTATTTTGTTATGTATTTAGATCAGCGTGTTCGGCTGATTCAATAGTATTCTGTATGAGAGAATAAGCTGAAACAAGCTGGAAGTGGAGCAGCCGAACAGGGCCAGATGCATAGTAAAATAGATATATAAAAAAAAGTCAAAACAACTAGAGAGTACTAAACTTACTATGAAATGTTTGGATGACGACGGCTGCCTGCCAGGCAAAGCATCCTGGCCAAATGAAAATAAGGCGGACGCCTGCTAACCTTGCCTGAGCCAGTAAAAAATCTCACGCTCTCATCCAAACACGCCCTATTGGGGCTGTTCGTTTGTTTCAAAAAAAATGAAAAAAAAAATGTTTCAAAAAAATGTTCATTCAGCAGCCAGCACGGCAACAACCGTCATGATGTGGAGTAACTGCTCGGCTGCACTCTTTGCAACGCTGCTGCAAAATACTGTAGAGCAAAGAAGCAAAAGGTGGCACGCAAGAAACAGCAGCAGCTGTGCAAGTAGGCCGAAAAAACGAATAAACAACCTCTAATCAAGATCTAGGAGATCAACCACCAACAGGCATGGACAAGCAATCAACAAAACATAAACCGCATCAGATACATGGGGACGCAGATAGCAACCATGTGTTGAACAAATAGGGCGTCCATCATTGGTTATCATTATATGTTAAACAGCATCTGACATTTACCCTATCCAACAGGAAATAAAGCTAATAAGAATGAAACTACATTGTCCACTAGAAAAAAAAAATGGTGGCAAATGATGGATGGAGGATTCGACTTCAACGCAGGCTCTATGATGTGATAAACATCAATCAGGATGACTGTATGGCACTCGAAGAAGCACTATGAAGAATATCAATCAGGAAGTTGCAGAGAAGGAAGCAGAAGGCGAAGAAGACTTCCTTCGTCGGAGGCAACATGTGGTGGCAAGTGGAGATCACAGAACAAAGCCAAAGTCGACTCAACGTAGCATTTGGCCTGGTCAATTCACTTTCTGGCACTCACTAACCTGGATCCTCCGAAGTAAGGCATGATAACGCGAGTAGGTGAGTCGTCATCCATCTAACATACTGCAGTTCCTGAACCAGGAGCAGCGTACGGAGACTGAACCTATGGAGAAACTTACCAGATGCTGCATTTGTCAGCAAATCAAACCTTACCAAATGGTATGAGAAGGAAGGTTATTACTGCTTTTGCGATGCGCAGCATCTTCAACGAAGCATGTGGTTCACGAAGACGCGCAGGCAGACTAACACACGGCTGATTGAATGAAGCATGCGAGGGTGTGCGAAGAATGACGAGCGCAGAACAAAACCATGAAGACAGAACTGAAAGCCGTAGTCGGCCGAGTCGTTTAAGCAGTGCAGGACGATGCCTTTTTACCACACAAGAAAAGACAGTAGGTCTTAGTTCAACAAATACACCCATCAAGAGGTTTTACTACTACTTATAAAGTAGACACAAGCATTATAAGGTATATAAAAAAGTTATGAGAACCTTAACCAAAGTCATGCAGTCGGCGAGCTATCTTTCAAGCAGGTTATTGATCATAGCTTTCCCAATATCTGTCACATGACACTCATCAGATACAAGGATTTGGCTCTAGCTCCTGCTGCGGCGGTATCTGGCAGTATCAATAGTAAAATGGAATCAATATTTTAGTAGCTGACAACAAAATGCGTAACTAAAACATGCATTACCCATTATCATAGGGAGACTCTTCTCGTGCACGTTTGTACTGTGGTGACCTGCTATAGCTGCGTCCACGAGCTGGTGACACGCCACGACGCCTTGGAGAGCGTGCTGCAGGACTGTAACTCCTGTTTGCAAAGATATGGATTCAATCAGATTCATTGTCCTTTGTTCATAATATGAATTATGCAATTTGCTAAGAGTATTTCACAAGTACAGATTGAACAGAATAAAACAAGAACAAAAAGATGAAGAGTGCACATATTGCTTTTGCTCATTTGATAGACAGTTTCCACCATTAATCATTCAAAACCTAGGCTGTTAACGAATGTAAAGGTCAGAGGATATCTTAGAGACTTCCCCGCAAGTGCATTATCCATAGTCATCTCCCCCCACCCCAAAAAAAAAAAAGAAACAAACAAAATAGGGAATGAAACAAAAAATTAAAGTGGAGCACTTTGATATAAAGGCTGTAGTACAGTAGGGGCATATGCACTAATAAGTAATAACAATAGTCAGTGAATAGGGTAGACAAAGGAACAGGAGAGTATATTCACCTTCTACCATAACTTGGACTCCGGCGATATCTGGGACTGCGACTGCGGCTACGGCTACGGCTACGGCTTCGGTGCCTTCCACTGCCTAGACCTCCAGAACCAATCCTCAAACGGCACTCACGAGCAAAGTGACCAGTCTCACCACACTCATAACACTTGGACTCAGACCCACCATACCGGTCACGACCACCTCGACCACTGCTGGCATTGCGAGATAGCTCAACTCTCCATCCATTCTTGCCTACAAAACCATAAATATATTGCTATATTCAGTAAGGATTAAAACATTTGTACATACATGACCATAAACATGCAAACACACAAACTGTGACTATAAAACAAAGAAAGCACAAATATAATCGCAAAAGGTAAGAAGAATACCACAGAAGATCCAATCAATTAAACTTTAACAGAGATTACTTCTAATAAGCATAGAAATAAGTTCATTAGGGCATGCAGTCTCCAATATGATATTGACTAGCAATGTCTACAAAATATATATTGTATTATATTGAACGGACTACAGAAGTACTTTCTTGATTTTGTGTCATCAATCTATACGCAAGTTTAGATAAAAAAATGGTCAAAGCTAAAGTTCAACTTACAACATACCTAAAGAAATTGAGTTATATTTGTTATATTAGAAAAAATTTCAATGTTTTCTACTTCCTCCGTGCCAAATTATAAGTCGTTTTGGCATTTCTAGATTCATAGCTTTTATTATGTGTCTAGACATAACATATATCTAGGTGCGTAGCAAAAGCTATGAATCTAGAAAATCCAAAATGTCTTATAATTTGGAACGGAGGGAGTACTTTCTCTACTCCTGCAATGGCCAATATCTGTTACCAGATGGTAGGCGCAAACCCAAAATCATAATTCCATATATCATCAGAACTGAATGTAATTTAATAGAAACTCAGATATTCCTCACATAGAACATTGACAACCTTTGGAATGCCATATATAAATCTGATACAACATACTGAGAAAGGTTTATAACATGTTGACAGCAATACATTGATCGCATACCATCTAGATCACGGATTGCATCCTCAGCGTCCCTCTTATCATCAAAATCAATAAATGCAAAGCCAGGTGGTTTCCGAGCAACCCAAACACTGCTTGCACAAAAACAAAACATGAAAACTGTGTCAGAATCATAGGCATCAAGTGGGATACATCAATGCAACATGTAATTACATGCATTCAACGATTATATAATGGTACAAAACTTTGTACGGGGTCCAGAACAGCATATCCTTTGGTGTTCAGAATACTGGCCATATCATTCGCTTTGTATACCCAAACAACGTAAGCATCCACACTAATGTAAGCCAAGGTCTATCACCAGTGAATTTGACAAATTGTATCATGCGCCATCAAAGAAATAATTGTAACAACCAAAGTACAGCAAACTATTTTTGGGAAGGATGCATATATTAAGTTGATATATCCCAAGTATGGCAGTGCAACAATATACAGTACAGTGACAGTATATATTTTATACTAAACAGGAGAGGATTTGCAGTACACCTCGTCGCTGTCATACTAAACAGGAGAGGATTTGCAATACACCTCGTCGCTGTCATGCTAACGAAATAGTCAATCGTCCTTGCAACCCAGGACTGATACTATTGCTTCGACAGACAATTCTTTGGTTTGCTATATTTAACAAAATTTCGCCCTTATGGTTATCATCCAAACATGCGCACACAAGAAAACACACGTGAATTTCTAAGACGAGCCACATCAATCACACGGAATCTACGGACCTGAGGCGAGAGCACTGACCTTCGAAGAACACCGAACGTGCGGAACTCGTCCTCCAGCTCCCGAGCGGTCACCCGGGGATCCAGGTTGCCGACGTACAAGCGAGCCATCACAACCGATCACCTGCAAATCATTCGCCAGAAACGGACACGGATAGCAATTAGATTTCGGAAAACCAGCCACCCAGAACCTTCGTATCAACGAGAGAGCACGCCAAATCAAGCAACGAATCGCTCAAAATCCAGTCCAAAATGAACAGATCTAAAGCTCGAAACCAAAATTAGCCGCGGAATTCAACCGGGTGAGGGGGGAGGGCGCACGAATCAACCAGATCTAGGGTTTAGAGGCGGGGAAAAGAACATGGGTCAAGGTGACGAGAGGGAAATCTGTGGCTTTACCTTCTCCGATCTGTTTCCTCCCGAGGCTGCGGCGTGGATCGAGGGTGAGGACGCTGGCTGATGATGGCGGACGGAACTGGGGCCTGGGGAGAGTAGTTGGGCGAAGGCGAGAAGGCGAGACGAGATCACGCGACGCGAGGATGTTATCGCGTTGCCGGGTTGGGATTGGACGGGACAATTCACGAAGGGGAAAAAATATACTTTTCTACCCTCAACTCGCCTGGAGTTCGATTTTCAACCTTTAACTACAAAACCGGTTAAGAAACACCCTTCAACTATTCAAATCGGAAAAATTTAATCTTCAGCTGATTTCAAAAGCAGTTTTCTATTTTGAGAGATGCCAAAATTTTATATTATTTTTTTGAGCATTTTAACGTCCTCAAATGAAAAAAAAAGTCAAAACTATAAAGGTGTAGATCTCATTGAGAGCTATAACTTTAGTATAAAAAATATTTTCATTTAACTCCATACAAATAATATATTAGTGCTCTAATACGGCAAGCGCTAGTAGACGATTATTATGGTGCTGAAATTTTATATTATTTTTTCGAGCATCTTACTATCCTCAAATGAAAAAATTAAAACTATAAAGTTGTAGATCTCATCGAGGTCTACAATTTACATATAAAAATTATCAAAACCCTTCAATACGATGTCGGATGAAGATAATTTTTATATGTAAATTTAAGTCTCGATGAGATCTACAACTTTATAGTTTTAATTTTTTTCATTTGAGGACGATAAAGAAGATGCTCAAAAAATAATATAAAATTTCATAATAAACTAAGAAAAACCCTTCAATACGATGTCGGATGAAGATAATTTTTATATGTAAATTGTAGACCTCGATGAGATCTACAACTTTATAGTTTTAATTTTTTCATTTGAGGATAGTAAGATGCTCGAAAAAATAATATAAAATTTCAGCACCATAATAATCGTCTACTAGCGCTTGCCGTATTAGAGCACTAATATATTATTTATATGGAGTTAAATGAAAATACTTTTTATACCAAAGTTGTAGCTCTCAATGAGATCTACAACTTTATAATTTTGAGTTTTTTCATTTGAGGATGTTAAGATGCTCAAAAAATAATATAAAATTTTGGCGCCTCCCGAAAATAGAAAACCGCTTTTGAAATCAGCCGAGGGCCAAATTTGTCCGATTTTGATAATTGGAGGGTGTTTCTTAACCGGTTTCGTAGTTGGAGGTTGAAAATCAAACTTCAACACGAGTTAAGAGTTGAAAGGTGTACTTTACCCATTCAGGAATAAGGACTTCTGGTTGGACCCGGAGGCCGTGCTGTTTCGGTGGACTGGGCTTCTTATGGGCTTGCCTGCTTAGCTGATGTTGAACTCTTTTCTTTTTGAAGGAACTCTCAACTTTCGCGAAAGTATGTTTTTTCTTCCTAAAGTCTAAAATCAAGCAAAACAACTCCCTCAACTTTTAAAATCATTCATCTTGCCTCCTCGGCTCTGTTATAAGCAGTTTTAAAGGCGGTTTTGTCTTTTTTCTTTTTATTTATTTCAATTGAATCTTTTGAAAATCATAGTAAATTATAGAAAAAAAAATATATAATATAAAATCTAATTTTGTTGGACTCCACATGAGTAGATCTACACAATGAATATATAATATGGTATGCTTTAATACAAAGTTTTTGTTATGGCTTTATATCTATGCTTTTATGTAATTAATTGGAATAATTCATAGATGCAGTTTCTATAGTCTAATTATGATGAAATTTTTATGGCGAGCTAATTATTGTATGATTGAACTGTAGTAAAAATTTCATGTTCATTCGATCATGTATAGTTTAGTTATAGATTTATTTATATTTAACAAGCATAAATCTAAATAAAATATATAACTAAGTTATACATAATCCAATGAGTATGAAATTTTTACTACAGTTTAAGCATACAATAATTAGCCCACCATAAAAATTTTACCATAATTGAACCATAGAAACTGCAGCTATGAATTATTCCATTTAATTATAGAAAAACATATATCTAAAGCCACATCAAAAACTTTGTACTAAAGCATACCATATTATATGTTCACTGGGTAGATCTACTCATGTGAAGTCCAACAAAATTGGATTTTCTATTTTATGATTTTTCTATGATTTACTATGATTTTTCAAATATTTAGCCGAAATAAATAAAAAAAAAAAAAAAAAAAAACCACATTCAAAACCGCTTATAACATGGCTAGAGAGGTAAGATGAATGGTTTTAAAAGTTAAGAGAGGTGTTTTGCCCGGCTTTGAAGTTTAGGGAGAAAAGCGGACTTTCGTGAAAGTTGAGAGAAGCAATGTGGACTTTTTCCTCTTTGAAACAGCACACGGAGGCACACAGATAAAGTTGTTTTGAGAGAAAGGCCTCAGTGTAGGCTCTAGGTTACAAGTTTGGGTTAGACTTTTGAATTTAAAGGCGTTGTGTTTTTCAATGGTAGGTGTTGTTTCTATCGACGGTGATACGTCTATAGTAACTTTGTCAGTCTTAAAGATTTGTCGGCCCAATCTTTGAATATGCTCATGGGGGTAGAGTTTATGTGCGTACGTTCATAGGGATGAGTTTCTGCTGAATAAATAAATATGATATGAGATGGAGGATCACACTTACGATGGCTTTACTACCTTTGGCTTTGGGAAAAGTTTTCTACTTTTGAAGTTCCTGCTCTATATTCCAGAGTGAAAAATAAAAATTCAAAAAAAAAGTAAAAAAGTCTAATTAGATCTATCTCGAATTTTTTAAACCCCTTGAACGTATGCGTGCGTTGTGAGCGTCTGCGTTGTACTGTGTAATCTTAAAAAAATAAAGTTATTTTGATATATTCTTTCAAATATTGCAGAATTCCAAAACGTGCCATTTATTATAAAGGCTTAGCATAACACAGATAAAGTTCACTGAAAAATCAATTCTAGCATTGCTCAGCATCTAAACCAACGAAGCAAAGAATTGCACTGTCGCCACTTCTAGCACTCGGCTAGGAGAAGTGCTCCTCGTTGTCCTCCTGCCTTTACAACTGCATCTAATGTTGGGCATCTCGCGAGAGATTTTTAAATTCCACACTCTATATCTTCGTTTGTCCATCCACTATAAAGATTCTCTCTCCATAATTTTGCACACTCCAACAGACTAGCTATATCACACTCTCCATATTCTATTGATCTATATTTTATTAGTATTCAAAATAATATGAATTGCTATATTTTGTTAGTATTCAAAAATTATTAGAATTAAATGGATACTCTTAAGTCAAACATTTTACAAAAATAGTCAACGTTGAAGAATTTTAATATAAAATCTATAAGAGATTTTGAGTTAAATCCAACTAAAATGAGTTCTCTATTATTTATTCTATTGGCAAAACAATAGTCATTAATTTTAGAGCTTGATATGATCACCTTTGAATTAATGAAAGAAGGAGAAAGGAATAGAGTTTTAGAGCATCATAAACATGGCACTAGCTGTCAGCCTCACATTAACCAAGATAGTGAGGCACATCGGCCAGCCAAATTTGGCTGCCGAGGCTCACCATGCTATAGCACCTCAAATAGGATAGCGATGGTAATGGCTAGTCTATTGGTGGCCAGTTTTCTAGAGCGTTAGCTAAAAATAGCAAATTAGATATAAATTCTCTTGGAGATGCTCTTAAAGCCAAATATGTTTCATTGAATGATATCTACAAAAAAAATTGAGTCTACATTTATAAAAAATCATGTAACTCCTTGTAAACCATAATATCCAGCAGCTATGCTCAAAGTCTAGTTTCTATCATTTCACCTATAAAGTCATGAGATGTTGACCCCATTCTTTTACCTAAATTCAGTCTTGAGTTTTAGGTAACCTAACTTTGTCCGGCAGTTCATAGCCTCACGTATAACCCAAAAATTACACAAATAAACAAAAGAGGCACCATAAACAAACCAGGCAAAGAAATAAACTCGCACTCACACTTCCAACCACCTATCCTCAATTCCCCACCTGGAGCCCTGTTTAGTTCCGCGTCGGCGGCGCTTTTCAGCCAAAAATGAGGAGAAATCCCACCAAATGGACTGTGACCAACGCGCGTTGGCCGGTTGAAAATAAACACGAGCGGATGATTTCCAAAATGTGGCCTCGGAGACATGTTCGCTTAAACGCAGTCTCATGTTCGTGAGTCGCGGAAACAAACATGGCCTTATATGCGGCAACAGCCACAACACTGCAAGTAGCACAAACAAAAAATGGATAATAAGAAGATTAAGATGTTATCAAACACAAAAGAAAAACTAATGTGTTCCTTGTGATGGAGCCTCTTCACTCGGGTTCTTTTTTTTTTGGTTTATTTGGATAGGTGCCATTACAATTTTCCAACTTTTGATATACGCCACTACGATTCACCTATTTAGAGATGTGCCATTATAATTCTTCAGCTCCCACAAAAATACCATCATCTACGTTTTAGAAACAGTCGGGCCCATTTGCAGACCAAAGTATTTTCGTATTGACCAGAATGCCCCCTCTATCTTCCTCTCAATGCTTATCAATGACATGTGGGCCATAGGTCAGGTCCTTCATCTTCTCTTCCCCATCACGCACGCCCGTCCCCTTTCGTAAGGTCGCACCGCCATCCTAGACCCCATCGACTGGACTGCCTCGTCCCTATCTTGTAGGGTCTAGATGGCGGACTAGAGGGAGGTGAATAGTCCTTTCTAAAAT